TTGTTGGGGGGGGGGGGGTCGGTTACGTGAAAGGCAGTACATGGTGTCGGATTTGAACACGAGGGAGGGAAGTACAGTACACCGTGTAGTACACGAACTGCAAGTACGTTCAAATTAACGGGCCGGCCCAATAAAGCCATTAAAAAGCCTTTCAGCTTATTTGGGCTTGCAAATACCTCGTTTCTAAATTCACCGTCTAGATTTAACAATTTATTAATAAAATAATACTCTTTTCGTTTCTAAATAAATATAATTTTAAATTTTATTTAAGAATTAACCAATAATGAAAAATTGAATCTCTTATCACAATTTTATAAAAAAATATAGAAAAAATTATATATATCTTTATTAATCCATATTTCCATTAACACTCCATTGAAATTAAATATTTTTAAATAAAAGTAATACTAAACTTTATTAAAAAAATCTCCTAAAAAATCTAAAATAACATATAGTTAATAATCAAATTTTTTCTCTAAAACAACATTGGTTAAGAAATTAAGAGAGTAATTAAAAAACCTTTCAATAGAAAAAACGCCCATACATAATATTTGTAAATGAGAATAACAATAACAAAAACTCATTTTTAAAAACATGTATATAATATCAAAAACTAAATTATCTTTTTTTATATAGAATATCAAACTAAAAATATATTATGGAGAAAACTCTCATTGCATTTCATCAAAACTTTTAGGTTATAGAGAAACAATCTAAAACCCTAATCTACCTTGAACTACAAAATACAATTAAAAATCTTACGAAAATATTGAAAATATATAAATATATTTTTATTAGAGTATTTTCACTGCATTTCTCGGATTTTGGATCGATTAGTGAAAAACATTTTCTCTTTGTTTAATAGAGATCTCGGCGTCTCGATTTTTTTTTTTTTGGTGGAATGCGGAATAGTAATAAACCATGTGAGGAGCACACGTTTCTATTGGTACATCGTTGCTAATTGGATTTGCAACGCAATTTCGTTACAAACATTGCGCATACTAAAACCCAATGGGTCTGAACCCAATAATTATGATTTTAGGTTTCTTAAGAGTTTAGATATTTTTTTTAATTTAATAAGTTATAATTAGAATATATGATTATGGAACTATGTAGAATATGTAAGATTTTATTAGTCCATTTTAATACTTCATGCGCAGTTTGGCGTAGCTCTCTCTCTCTCCTCGACAAAGGCTTCAAAAGGAGACAAGACAAGACGTGTGATTGGTAATAGGCCATGTTAGGTGGGGCCTAAAATTAAATCTCATAAAATTCGAGGCTAATTTTAAGAAATCGTAAAAATTGAGGAGCAACTCGTAAATTTTGTATCTTGACATTTTTGGAGGTGTGGCTTTTTATATATGTGGATATTCTCGACTCCGATGATTTCTTTATACTATTTTATGTTTCTTATCGAATCAAACTAATTTAAAATTTTATCCGGTTACAACTGAGCCAATTTAAATAATATAACGTTTATAATTCCAATAAATTATGTGTTATAATCGCTGAAATCCGAATTGGTATAAATTCTAATTGTTTCGAGTCAACATACTTGGAGTGGATTTTTTTTTATTAATGAAAATTAATTTCGAAAGGACATTTCCTTATTGGCCAATGATTCTGTTTTTTCTCCCCTGACGATGTTGTTCTTATTATTTTATTTTGGAGAGAATACTATTAAAACATGTGATATCTACAAAGAAAATAAAATAAAAAAGATAAAATAAAAAAGGTATTCTGTTTTTACTAATAATTAGGGAAGAACATTAAAACAAAAAAATTATCATTCTCTTCCATTACATAATCATTCGTTTCTTTCATCAATATCTTTAAGAAAAAAGAAAATGAGATGAATGGTGTCTTTTATGATTAAAAAAAAACAACCAAATTATTTAATCAATTTTGTAATAAAATATTCGTCTTCTCTGTATGAATCTGTAAGAATACGGAAGTGTAATCGCGTACCGATTCTGTCGATCTTATCCTTGGTTGAAATCACAGTCTTCAGATTCTCTTGACGATGGTCGGAAACCGGCTACCAGAGTCGGAATCGCAGATTCACAACCCAGATGCTATTCACCAGAACTGATAATTCACGTTTTCTTTTCTGATGTTTTCTGCCTATATATTTGTCATATAGAATACTTTTATAGGATTCAAGCGGTGTTTATGCAAGAGACACAACCGGTACAATGGTTATATCCTACGGTTATGTCTATTCTCACACACACCCTTTCACCGGGTGTTTCAACCATCATCTCCCACTCACCCGTGAAAGACAATGACTTTACCGGTTCCGAGTTCATACTAGCAAATGGGTCGTGTGACCACCGAATACACCTGCATGCGGGAGCTCCAAACTAGAAACCCACACAGGGCCAGAATGGAGATTCAACCTCGGGGAAAAAAAATAAATAAATACACGATGTATTCTATACCCTAGGTTCACTTTGTCACATCGAGTCTAGTATCCCTTGACCCCTCAATAAAATAAATAAAGACGATATTTAACTCTCACTACTCCATATGTATTCTCAGTTATGATAAGTACACAACAAATTATAAATGGCCGGCCGGTGAACACATATGAGTGATATGACAATACTTTACCTTCCTTTCACCCTACTACTACTTAGTTTCGAGTCGACTGCTTTCCTAGACATGCCCCAGTAGATCGAATCACTCGTGACCATAGGAAGCACACTAAAGTAGCAAACATCAACTCTACGCTTCGTAGCATAGTCAAAGTCATAAGGGTATACTCGTAAATCAATATACGATATCAAGTACTCACACAGTGATGAAGCATGGATCCATTCATTCACTTACTTGATTGGTCATATCTCTAGCACATACAGTATGAAATGTATGCTATGGTGGAGATTCTCCCTCAGGAGTATGTCACTCAACACTATACAGGTCTTAGTCTAGTTGCTACTCAAGCGACTAACCCGAACTCACAATATGCTTGCTCCCTACAGCATCATATAGGATTCGCACCTGGCTTCTACATAGGTTTCATGGATGGTGGAATAACATCCATGTCGGCTCCAAAACAACTCTAAGCCTCATCTAGGTTCTTACCAAGGCGACATATAATGAAATAAATCGAGTTCGTCTCCCAACGACCCAATTCATTCATGTCTCATCTCTATTCGCTCCCAGAGCATTAGAGGCGATTGCTCATGTGAGAAAGTCAATCATAGCAGATTCACAACCCAGATGCTATTCACCAGAACTGATAATTCACGTTTTCTTTTCTGATGTTTTCTGCCTATATATTTATCATATAGAACCTATACTTTTATAGGAATCAAGTGGTGTTTATACAAGAGACACAACCAATACAATGGTTATATCCTACGGTTATGTCTATTCTCACACACCCTTTCACCGGGTGTTTCAATCGTCAGAATCTAAAAGAAATCAAAATTACAAAATATTTTTTTAACACGTGCATTTTCATAATTTAAAAAAGGTAGCAATTACGTGTTGATAAATACTCCAAATCCTTTCTTTTACAACCATTACTATATCAAAGATCTTTATAACAAACAAAGAATAAAAGTAGAAGATCTAAAAGAAAACAATCACCCCTATCCAAATGAAAAAAAAAACTAAAATACAAACCATTATAAAAAAATTAGCTTATTAATTTCTAGCACAACAAAATTATTCCAATATATTAATTCTATTTTTTGTTTAAAATTAATAGTTAATGAGTTTTGATAATAAGTTTAAAGTTTGAGTTTTTTTTTTGTGTAAGTAAGATAGATGGTGGTACTCTGTTAGTTATTGTGAAAATTGTTTTGTTTAAAATATTTTTAATAAAACTTGTATATATATGTTTTAAAACTAAAAATTGAATTGATCTGTAACTGAAAATCGGAATGGCCACTAAAAATTTAAGTTATATAATTTATTTATTATTAACTAATCACATAATAAAATAACTTACTGATTAATTAATTAGAACAAGAAGAGAAAGCTATCAATAATTTATGCATCATTAAAGAAATTGATGGTAATGTGACAAGACAATAATTCAATATATAAAATGATGTATATTTTTTTTTTCAGACCACATATTTAAATTTAGATGAGGCCGATGCCTGAACAAGGGCTTTGCAATTTGGTTTTGACTTTTGAGAGTCTACTTCTATGTTAAAAAAGAATATATAATACCAACGGTTAATGTTTAATTAATAATTTAATTTAAGAAACATATGTTTAATTTTACTATATCAGAGAACATGCCTTTGACCCATGTTATTTTCATTTGAAATAAGGTTGCCAATGATTGGATATTAATCAAGATTCACGTGAGATATGTAGAGAAAAATTATCCAAAACTTTAATTTTATTTGGAAAATTAAGGATAAAAGTATTTTGAATTGGAATAATAATTATGTCTTATTTATGCGTTCACACAATTTTTAAGCATCTATATAAAAATATAACCGAATTTATAGATATTTTACATTTATTATAAAGTATCCATAGTTTTTTAATATTTATTACATAATATTTTTATTTTAATCGAATGAAAAATTGATTGTAAAAAATTACGAGTTCATAGTCAAATTGTTTAGTTTCAATACAGGTAATACTTTGTTTTAGTCATGGATTTATTATAGATTAAATTTCCAATAATTATTCTAATCACATCATTAAACAAACAGAAATTTGTAGATTTGAAGTTTATTTATAAATTTGTCATAAAATCGCAACTTCTGACGACTAATATTGAAATTTTTTTCTCTCATACTAAAATTTAGCATGTTCCTCCAACTAAATTAATTTATAACCAAAAGTATTTCATTTTTGTCGGTAAATTTATTGACTCTTGAAAATTTGATTTCTATATCAAGATTCTTCAAAAGATAAATTTAACAAAATTACGAAATGAATTTAAATTTTCAAATGTATTCTACTCTGAAATCATTTAAGTTATACTAACATGCAGAAGTATTTAATATTACGGAATAGGAAAACTGAAATTATATTACCACATTTAATTATTTTAATTATAAAATAAAATTCCTCGTAGTTTATTATAAATGATTAAAAAAAATCAAACTTTGATTGTAACCCAAAAGTTTTATTGGTGGCATAAATGATCAGTGCCATCATTATTTGCAATAATGATAAGGAAAATATGTAAATAATGCAAACCGAGAAGGGTGTTTATGTCAATTCGTGCGCTTTAAAAGGTTATTTTTGTCATCCAAGACAAAAAAGTACTTCCCCTGAAAGCCGTGCTAGATTATGTAAATTCACAAAACCTAAGGGCTATTTATGTAATTTATTCCCCGAGACCATGATATCTTCTGCAACTTCCGTCCACCAATATATATATATATATTAACAGGGTTAGAAATTAGAGAATTTAGTTAAAGAAATCAAATCCAATATAAGTAAAGAAAAAAAAAAAAAAAGAAAAGAAGCAAAAACACGTTTCTACTCGTAATAGATGTTTACAAAGCAGATTATACAGGTGTGTATAACTGTGCAAGTGTTTGTGTATACATCTCCATCTTCAGATAATCTTCACTTTCATCTCTAATCGTTCATCTCCATTACAGTAATCAGATTTTTTTTTTAATATGTTTTTTTAAAAGTTTCTCTTTTGCTTAAAACCCAGAGCCTCTACTTCTTCTGCTCCTTTTAAAGAGCTCTCTCTCTCTCTCTCTCTCTCTCTCTCTGTACCTGTGTCTGCTTCTACCATCTTTTTTTTCCCCTTTGCCTTTCAAGTATTAATTTCGTCATTTTCTGGGAAATAAGAGGAGAAATCGTTACTTTTCGTTGCTATTATGCAATAATTTTCCAGGGCAAAGAGAAAGCAGTTATGTAACATCATAAGCACATGGGAATCTGACATTATACGCAACTGTCTGTGGGGTATTTTGGTTGAAGAACAACAGAAGGAAAACAAAAGATGTCTCAGACCAACTGGGAAGCGGATAAAATGTGAGTTCAGCTATGTTCTGTTACCCTAATCTGCTAAATAGTTTGTTTTTCCCCCTAAATTTCTTTTACCGTATTATGATGTTAGATACTCATTTCTGGTTGGCTTGGATTCTGGGTGTCCGAGTGTTTTCTGGGTTTTGTTTGTTTCTAGAGTTCGGGTCTTATAGTGCATTAGCTTTCTCTTTGTTTTTTCTTCCGTCTGATGCTAGGGTTTGGGTTGCTCTGTGCTTGTTCATTGTCTAGATTGAAGAACTTGTTGCTTCTACTTGATTTGAGATCTAGTGATCTTCTGGGTTTACCTTACTGTTATGGTTTCCTTCATTCCAGTTCTCTCACTTGCATTAGCCTTCTCCTCGACATTCTTTCTTGTTTCCCCTTCAGGTGTTGTGGTTAATTTCTGCAATATTTGGTTTCTAGTTCTAGAAGTTTCTTTCTGCTTGATTTTGGTTGTGGGTATTTCTGGGTTTTGTCAGGTTTTGCCAGGTTTTGCATGTTTTCTTTGATCTGTGCCCAAAGATTGGTTCTTTGTGTCGTATGACATTCTTAAAGGCTTGAAAGTTGTGAACTTTGGTCACCTGAGTGTTCGACTAGCTGAGCAGTGGTTGTATCAGGTTTCTTATGCTTTTGTCCTGTCCAGGCTTTAGATTTTGTCTTTGGGTGTGAATTTGGTGTCGTGTATATGGGAATCCCTTCCGAGGCTTGAAACAATTTCTGAGTTTGGGATTGTTCATTTGTTAACATGATGATACTATTGTTTGTCTAGCTCAGTTACTACTTTGAGCTGGAAAAATCCTCAAGATCATTAGTTAGGTTAATATGCCTACTGCTTGATTCCCATGTTGGATCTTGCAGCGATATAACATGTTCTTTATGGGAAACTTTTTATATATTACAGGTTAGATGTCTATATCCATGATTATCTGGTGAAAAGAGATTTAAAAGCTACAGCTCAAGCTTTTCAAGCAGAAGGGAAAGTGTCATCAGATCCAGTTGGTAAGTAATCAAAAATTTGCTTGAGCGGATGATTGATAATGATTGCAAGTAACACCCTTATCTGACAGAGATTCTCTCTTCTTTTTTGTCCTAATACGTTTCATATTTGTCTTGTGTGGTTGTGGTTTTCTCGAATCGGGTTTTAGCTATTGACGCTCCCGGAGGCTTTCTGTTCGAATGGTGGTCTGTTTTCTGGGATATATTTATCGCCAGAACCAATGAGAAGCACTCCGAGGTCGCTGCTTCATACATCGAGGTTTGTTTTTTGTTTACATTTGCACAAATCTACTCTTGACTATGTAAATTGTTAACCTTATTTTACATGAAGAATGCATTATACTATATATATATATATGCATGTATAGTCTAAAAACAGTTACCAAGTACAAATTGTTTTCGGCTGCTTTCATCCTATTTCCCGTGTTGAAGGACATGGTTCATAGTCCATAGAAGGAACTGGCCTATGTTTCAACCGAATGTTCGCTAAATCTCAATCAATTTAGTGTCAAAATTGCACTAATTCTGAATTAGATTACCAATGATGTTTTACTTGGAGTTTATATACTACCCAAATATGATTTCATAAGCAGTTGAAGCTTTTGTATTCCGATGTTATGTTTCTAAATTTTGGGTTTTTTTTCCGTAAATTTAATTTGAATCTTTCTATATATGTACCTCCTCAATCTATTATATAATCTTTGAATTTTCTGACATAAAATACTTAAGAAAAACCTATATGCATATGTTGTTACACCCATGTTAGTCACTTAGCTAATGTAGTTACCTTGACTATTTTTCAACTGCTTTCTTCCTTTTCCTTAGAGGAAGTCATCCAATATCTGTATCATGAAATGATTTGCAATTATTATCTATGTGAAGCCTGTTTGCTCATGGTATTTTTGTTCTTTCTTTACATAGTAAAATGCGGTAGGTTTTCACCAGTGACAGAAAATGGCAGATTCTCTGTGTTGATTTAAGTAAAGTTCATAAACTCAAAGGTCATTCTATTTTTGTTAATCGAAATCGAACCATCTCAAAATTTTTAGACGCAGATGATGAAAGCCCGGGAGCAACAATTGCAGCATCCTCAGCATCCTCAGCTCTCACAGCAACAGCAACAACAGAAGGTTCAAATGCAGCAACTTTTGTTGCAACGTGCACAGCAACAGCAGCAACAACAACAACAACAACAACAACAGCAACAACAACAGCAGCAACAACAGAACCAGCCTCCTCCTCAACAGCCACCGCCTCAGCAGCAACAACAGCCAGCAGCTCAGCAGCAGCAGCAGCAGCAGCAGCAGAGGAGAGAGGGAACCCACCTCATGAATGGGACAACTAATGGACTGGTTGGTAACAGTGACCCAATTACGAGGCAACATCCTGGGCCTACCAGTTCTTTAGCTAGTAAGGTGTACGAGGAGAGAGTCAAAATGCCGCCACTTCAGAGGGATTCTATGGATGAAGCTGCTATGAAGGTAGTTAGACTTATGTCCTCTTGTTCTCTTTATAGTATCACAGCTTAGTTTGTCTTATGCTATTATTTGAACCCTTTGGCAACAGCGATTTGGTGAGAATGTCGGGCAATTGTTGGATCCAAATCATGCATCTATGTTGAAATCCGCTGCAGCTTCCGGCCAGCCTTCAGGGTACTTTTCTTGTTCTATACCTTCATTATCCACCTTCTCTTCTATACCATTCTAGGCACTTACTTTTTTACTATGTGCAATGTCGTTGGTAAACCTCAGGCAAGTGTTGCATGGTTCTAGTGGTGGGATGTCCTCACAGGTTCAAGCTCGGAATCAGCAACTTTCCGGGTCTACAGCGGTGTGATATCTTGGATCAAGTTGGCTTTCAACCTCTCCCTTTTGCTTTCCAATTAATTAAATATTGTTGGGTTTATTCCTTGCAGGCAATAAAGAGTGAGATCAATCCAGTTCTCACTCCTAGAGCTGCAGTTCCAGACGGGTCGTTGATTGGGATTCCTGGTATGGTTCCTCTGAGTTGTTCCTCTGCTTGTGCATAGATTTTAGTTTGTGAGAATTCGGTGAAACATGATCAGAGTGCCTTAGTTCACGAGTAGCAATCAGCTTTGGTTAATGCTCGTTTCCTGTTTTCAGGTTCAAATCAAAGCAACAACAACCTTACACTTAAAGGATGGCCTCTCACTGTAAGCTTTAACCATGAAATTTTCTGACTTTGTCATGCTCTTGTCTAAAAAATAAGTTGTTCCAAGTCTTTTTGCTTTGTTCCTGGTTTAGGGTTTTGAACAGCTTCGTTCGGGTCTTCTTCAACAGCAAAAACCCTTTATGCAATCTCCTCAGCCCTTCCACCAACTCCATATGTTGACCCCACAACATCAGCAGCAGCTTATGCTTGCTCAACAAAATCTGAGCTCACAATCTGTTAGTGAAGAGAACAGAAGACTTAAAATGCTATTGAACAACCCGAGTATGAACATCGGGAAAGATGGCCTCGGAGGTTCTGTTGGGGATGTGTTACCTAATGTTGCTTCGTCTTTACAACCTGGTGGCCTTCTTTTACCTCGTGGAGACACCGATATGCTACTAAAGGTTTGTTTCTCTGGAAAAGCTATTTCCTTTAAAATCGAAAGTGGGGATCCCAAGTTTGTCATATTTTTTATGAAATATGCATCGGTCCATTCTCTTTCGTTAAAAGTTTGTGACTTTTTTGCTCGAAGCTTAAGATTGCTTATGTGCTGCAGTTAAAGATGGCTCTTTTGCAACAGCAGCAACAACATCAGCAACAGCAGCAACAGCAGCAGAATTCCGGGAATCCACCACTTCAGCAGCACGCTCTTTCAAATCAGAATTCTCAGAGTTCGAATCAAAATCTTCATCAGCAAGATAAAATGGGAGGCACTGGTAGTGTTACCATGGATGGAAGCATGTCGAACTCGTTCAGAGGAAATGATCAGGTCTGCTTGTTATTTTTTTTCTTCGTCTAATGCCCACGAGTGCATCCATGGCATAAATTTTGTTTCTGTTTCTCCGTCTCGTGTTTCAATCTGATAATTCTTTTCCACCATGAAATTGACTGGTTTTTCAAATCCTAGCAAGGACTGTTTGGTTGACGAGAAAGTGTGAGAAAATGATGGAAAAACAGAGAGGACAGAGGAAAATGTGGAAAAGTTTTGTAGATTTCCATTCCTTACTGCCAAAGTCGGTTAGTTCAGTAACTAACCGACTCTGAGCTGTATATATATAGTTTCCTAACCTGGGTTTGCATTCAATTTAAGGTTTTGAAAAACCAGCCCGGGAGAAAGAGAAAGCAACCTGTATCGTCTTCCGGGCCTGCCAATAGCTCGGGAACCGCTAACACGGCCGGACCATCACCAAGCTCGGCACCTTCTACACCTTCGACTCATACTCCCGGAGATGTGATTTCTATGCCTAATCTTCCTCACAGTGGCAGTTCCTCCAAATCAATGATGATGTTTGGCACTGACGGAAATGGGACTCTTACCTCGCCGTCAAATCAGTTGGTAGGTCATTAGAACTTTTGTGGAAAAGGGTGTGAAGTAATATTGTGTTTGGTAAATTTTTGCAGGCTGAAATGGATCGTTTTGTTGAAGATGGGTCTCTTGACGAAAATGTCGAGTCTTTTTTATCAAACGAGGATGGTGATCCACGGGATTCTGTCGGGCGTTGCATGAATGTTAGTAAAGGTGTGTAGTTTGAAGCCCTTGGTCTAAAACCTTCCTTTCGACATTTCGGTATTTTCCTAATCCAGTGATTGATAGGTTCTTCTCTGATGATTATCAATGGTTTTCTCCGAAACTAGGGTTCACATTTACGGAAGTGAACTCAGCCCGTGCGAGCACGAGCAAAGTTACTTGCTGCCATTTCTCATCGGATGGAAAACTACTTGCCAGTGGTGGGCATGACATGAAGGTGAAGGAACTAACGGTTTTAACTAAATACTGTCCGAATTGGCTTAGTAAGAAGATTCATTTAGTCACTTCGTCATGGTTCTGAATTTGGTAATGCAGGCTGTATTATGGTACACGGATACGATGAAGCCAAAAGCTTCCCTCGAGGAGCACTTAGATTTAATAACCGACGTTCGTTTTAGCCCGAGCATGCCTCGGCTTGCAACTTCTTCCTTTGACAAAACAGTTAGGGTATGGGATGCAGATAATGTAAGTGAAAACTTGGTTTTTTCCTTACGCTATCTCTATATAGATAGATCTCTTTTGAGGGCTGTGTTTGAATATACTTGCAGAAAGGATATTCGCTCCGTACGTTCATGGGACATTCTTCAACGGTTAGGTCAGTAGATTTCCATCCAAATAAGGATGATCTCATTTGCTCTTGTGACGAAGATGGCGAGATAAGGTACTGGAGTATCAACAATGGAAGTTGCGCCCGAGTGTTTAAGGTTGGATTTTTCTTTCTTTCTTTCTTTTGCTTCAACTTAAAAAAAAAACTTTTTTTTTTTCCGGGCATATGTGTACATTACTTCGCCTGTCTTAACAGGGTGGAACTACCCAGATGAGGTTCCAGCCTCGTCTAGGAAGGTATCTCGCGGCAGCAGCAGAGAACGTTGTATCGGTTCTCGATGTCGAAACGCAGGCTTGCAGGCACTCTTTGCAGGTTAGTTTACATTCTCTATTCCGGGTTTAGGGTTTATCGGAAGCCGTTTAATATTTTGTACTTCCGAGTTTTTGTAGTTATTTTTGTATTTGGTTGGGGTTTGGTTTTTTCGGTCTTAGAGAAATTTTCCTTTTCCAAAGAAACTTTTCATCTTTTCGATTTTATATCGGATTCTGTCTGGATACGGATATGTAAATACCGAACAAAAACGCCTCATGGGTCCGGGTATTCATAGTCAGATTCATATATTTACTTGAACAGGGCCATAATAATCGGATACACTCCGTTTGCTGGGACCCATCTGGTGAATTTCTGGCATCGGTGAGCGAAGATTCGGTAAGAGTCTGGTCGCTGGGGTCTGGTAGCGAAGGGGAATGCGTCCACGAGCTAAGCTGTAACGGAAACAAGTTCCAGTCCTGCGTTTTCCATCCGTCTTACCCGTCGCTACTCGTAATTGGCTGTTACCAGGTACCTACCCCATCTTATTATTACCTCATCAACTCAGAATCTTTTTTTGCCTTTTTCCACATTTTCCCTCACAATATCTACTTTTAACGAACACTGTAACCCGTGTGAAACGCAGTCATTGGAACTATGGAACATGTCGGAGAACAAGACAATGACGTTACCAGCACACGAGGGTCGCATCGCGGCATTGGCCGTATCGACGGCGACTGGACTTGTTGCTTCCGCCAGCCACGACAAGTTTGTGAAACTCTGGAAGTGAATCCATCAAGACAAATGTAGCAAGACTTTGGTCCAAACGATGAACCCCTTACTAGGAACTCTCAGGTCACTTTCTGCTTCTCTTTCTCGGTTTTTATTCTCGGCCTCTTCCCGATCTCGAATAGTTGTCACGTGTTCGTCATCCGATCTGAAAATTTCGGGCCCGTGAACTGTTGTTGTAGCAGTGCTTTTCTTTTATCTGTTCTTGTTTCTGAAACCTTGTATGTTTGATGGAATGAATGATGATGCATTTCTTGGTTAGGTTTGGTTATGAGAGTCATCCGGTTTTTTCCGGTTAACTTTGGTAAGATAAAACCGGTTAAGAGAGATTTAGAATACAAAGCTGTGACTGTTAGGGGTGGGCGTTTTAACCCGTAACCCGGGGGTTTGGAGATGCCCGGCTTAACAAGTACCCGAATAAAGGGTACCCGAATATTAACGATGATGAGATCGAGTATTAATAAGACTAAATTTTTGACCCCGAGTCCGAGTGGGGTTCAATTATTTTACAAAGCGTACCCGGGGGTACCCGGTATATTTGTTAAAAATCTAAAATATACTTTATATCTATAACATTTTTATCTAAATTATTCTTATTATTTATTAAAATACTTTTATTTTAGTTAAATTTTTTTATGTTCTAAACCTTTCTATACAAAAATTTCATCATTCCAAATCTCATTCTATGTAATCGAATCAATCATTCACCTCTCTCTCAAAATTTTAGTCATCTCTCTTCATCGTGAATTTTTTTCTTTATACTTTGACCTCTCTCATTTGTATTTTCTATATCTATCATTTTATAGTTCAAAATTTTATAAATCGTATGGGTTCGGGTAACCGCGAGTACAAGACCGAGAATCTCATTAAACCCGAGCTACAAGTATCCGGATTTTATAAAGCCAAGACTGAGATAATATTTTTATAAAACCCGTGGTAATGGAGACGAGATAGGGTTTACTAAAAATTGGGGGTACCCGACCCGTGCCCACCCTAGTGACTGTGAGGAGGCTAATGAGTAATTTATCCACGCCGTAATGTGATTAAACAGGTTAACCATCATCTTTAATAAGACTGCGCGTTCCGACAACTTTCGAGTATGGAGGTTTATGTGTACGGACTGTTTACGAGTGGATACAGATAAAGTATTCGAGGGTTATTAGGACAGCTTCTTTTTCAATATAAAAGTAGCCCATAATAAAACATGATAATTATATAATATATATATATATATTTCGAGATTTCATCTGCTTCGATTATATTTTAAAAAAATTATATTTTTATATTGGATTGATTTTTAAATAAAAATATGTTTATTTTACATTTTTTTCATATTTTATTATTATTTTTATACTGGATACATTCTATCACCCATTTTTAAATGGAATTTTATTTGAATACACGTATATATTATTCGATTAGATTAAACGAATAAACCCTAATTTGGATAATGATAAATTATTAGGGTTCAAGTATTTCTTTTTTCATGCGGAAGGAGAGAGAAAAAAATCGCAATTTCAAATGAGAAAATAACCACACAATATATAACTTTATGTTTTCAAGTGTTATCAAATTGCGCATATATTTTCAAGTGTTAATCTATTTTTTATTTCTTATAATCTCCACAACTTGAAATTAATTATGATTTAGTTTGGTAAAGAAGGCAGAATTGGGGAAAGTGCATTACACATTGGTTCAATCGTATGATAATTGCAATGAGGAAAATGGCAGATTTTGTTCGCCACTTAATCAAACCTTACTATCATTTTGGCGCCCATTATTGTCTACTCAACTTTGTGCAGCCACAAATCTTGTCATATATCCACACATCAAAATTCTTATGATTATTTCCTTTTCAACTCCAATTTCTTTTTTTTTTATATATACAAAATCCTCAATCTGTTTTTTTTTTCACCTAACAAAGTAAGGGTATACAATTATACACATTTGATTTTTTTTATATCAAATTTTGGTTCACTTTTGATTTTTTGTTCTGTTTCCATTTGTATTATGATATTTATTTTTTTTAGACATTCTTTTATTTTTTTTTGTATTTTTGGTTTATATATATTTTTTATTCGAAAAAAAACACAAGGAGGGAATCTAGTGGTTTGTGCCATGCCATACAAAAATAATTTATCAAATCAAGATATGTGAAAAATTCCATAATGTTTATTATTTTATTAACATCAATTTCTAAAAAAATAAATTTGTTAAATATTTGAGTATTATAATTCGAGAAAGACTAACAAAAACAGAAAATTTTGGCTCAAGTTGTTAGACGAAAGAAAAATCAGGGGTAATTATCAAATGATCATATAAAATTATTAGAAAGATAATTAAGATTAAATTTTAGGGTATAACCTTAGTTCAAATCTAGCGACTTAGATTAGACATATCTTAATCGAGTTTAGGACACAAACATAAACAATACTCTCTCCATTTCTCATTACATATCCTTTTAAATTTTTTCCAATTTTAAAAAATAAAAATAAAAAGAATCAATTTTAATATTATATTGGATTTAGAATATTTTTAATTAAACATAAACAATATAATTTTAAATACTCTTCCTAATGATATGTAACAAATTGCACAAAGATCAAAACCATGTTCCCATGTTTTCTCTCTCCACTCTTGATTGGAACAATAAAGTAAAGCAAACACAAGAGACAATTATACTTCCTTTCACCAAAACCCGAAGCCTAAGAGGTTGCTTAATTTATCATTAGATTTCTTCAAGATCTAATTATAAATGATGGGAATAAATCATATCTTGCTTGAAAGAACACGAAGACATTTCAAGACTGAACCTTTTCGCCTTTTTTTTCTCTCTTACCCACTGATCTCTCTCTCCCTCTCTCTCTGTGACTTGATGGTATCACATCGTTAGCATAGACGATAATGGAGGCGGTGGCGGCGAAGTGGTCGTACTGGTGATGATAACGACCATGTCGAACCACAACATTGGCGGCCAAACTCTTGACGATTCCATCAGACAGAAAGAGCAGGAGAAGCTCATGTTCCATGACTTCTTAGGACCCAAAACATCAGCTTTGTCCTCCAAAGCCACGGCCCATCCCAGGCTTCTGCCGGAGAAGGCGGCGGCGGGGGCAGCTTCGACGGCGTCGGCTTCTTCCGGCGGTCTCTCTTCGACCTCCGATCTGGGTTCCGGTCTCTCTGCCTCTCTCTCTCTCTAACTTGTTTGGTGTTTTTGCTCAGTGTTCTTTGTCCTGATGTGGGTACGTTCAATTAGGGTTCTTTAGCCAAAAAGCTCGAAACTTTTCACAGATTTGATGAGAAAGTTCGATTCTTTTACTTTCCTGACCTGATTTAGATCGTGCTTTTGGTTTACTAGGTTCGGCATGGAACTAGTTTCAGTTTAAATCACCTTTAAGCGAAGCCCAAAAGCTGGTTTTCGTTGAAAAAGGAAAATCTTAACATGAAACATTGTTCACTGTAAATGTGAATTCTGTTTGAGCATGGATTTTGTATGCCCATGGGGTTAATTGGGTCAATGAACTGCAGAAATGAAGGATGATCTCTCTCAGTAGAGAAGTGGCTGATGTGTTCGGTTGATCATAACCATTTGAGCAAGATGATCTTTGTTACTTTCTTTTAGAAAACACCCAATGCTTGAGATTTCAAGTCCCATCATGCATCCTTGGATTCTTCCTTTTAATAGTTGTTAACTTTGTATCAATTCTATACATTTCTTTCTCTATGCCTCGCGATGTGATCACCTTTTCCGGGTTTGATTGTGTAGAAATCGAGTTCTGATATGATACGCTTCTCATCTGTTCAGTACATGGCGGAAACCATCTCGAGGGGATACATTTGTTTGGGCCAAGGAGTGAGATTTCTGGCTCAAGCATGAGCAATAGACTCGCTGGAAGCAAGAGGAGCAACTCGGATTCCCTCTTCTCAAGCCAGGAATCCCCCGAAAGCTTGCATTTAGCCAAGGTAAGAATCGAGATTGTGTCTTTTTCTTCGTATCACAAAACTGATTCATCCTTTTTTCCGTCCTGTCTCGTTACTCGTTAGATGCTTAGAAATGGGATTCGAAGCCCTTCCACGAATGCCAACCCTTTGGTAAGTTACCCTGTCCGAGGAGGGCACATCAACCATTTGCTTCATCTCTCTTCTAGCCGGTTTAAGGACGAAACTTCTGCCCCTTCGCTCATCTCCCACTCAGCGGCTGACGAAGGTTCAAGAACCGGGATGAAAGGTCCCGTGATCTCGAGCTCTCTCAACCTCGAGAGAACTTCATCTGGGGTTACACCAAATGCGAGCAAGTTCGAACCTTTTTCCCCTTCAAGGTGATTTAATTGATGCATCCTTCTTAAACGTCGGTTTATATCGTCATTGAGAGAATTCTGGGGTTGTGTATCGATGAACGATGGTGGTACGATGTCTCTGCAGTTCATGTGGTTGGAAAGACTTGACGACCTGCACTAGGCAAATGACTATATTCTACGGAGGTCAGGCTCATGTCTTTGACGATGTGCATCCAAACAAGGTGAGTCTCTCAGGTTATTTCCTGTGCTTTCCGTGAAAATACAATGAATAATCCAAAAGCTTAAACTTTTTCAGGCGGATGTGATAATGGCATTGGCGGGATCGAACGGAGGATCATGGTCTACCGGATTCTCTCCCAAACAAAAGGGAAAGCACACGGGGGATGACGCTTACAAACGAGGCCAACCCTGCATTGGAGGCAGCTCTAGAGGCGGTGCCTCTGCCTCGTGTAACCAGATCTTCACACCACCAGCACCAGGTGAAATGTTCTTAGATTCTTAAGTAATTTTATGCACGGTGGATGCTGATGGCAAGTACCCGTGGTGAGTCTGGTACTCAAAATCTCGGGTACTCGTCCGCCGGCGGGACGAGTACAGCTCCGTTTCAATGAGAATCCAATCTTTGGGTTCGAATTCGGGTTTTGACTGGTATCCGTGTCTTGTGGATACTCAAGTTGGAGGAGGCTAGGCGACGTGATGCAAGGCGAGAGGGTTGAGGGCGAGGGAAGGAGGCGATGATTAGGGAGTCTGCCACGGCAAACGATAGTGATATGATTCTGTTCCAAGCATCTGATGTTTTGCATAATTTTTCAGGTGGAGGACATCAAGGAAGCATCATCCCGAGGGGTCGGGGTCAGGATAACGCAGATCCAGTCCGAGCATCGGATACTGGAAATGCAGATAAACTCTTTCGGAACCTTTCCCAACATCACGAGAAAGGAAACTAAATGAGGCCGAGAAGGGAAACATTCTTGTAACCATCTCAAGTTTGTTCTCTTTAAAACATCAATTGTCTGTAAACCTTTCGATTTCTGAGGTCTCTACCCTGGATTTTTCGGCTCCCTGAGTATCTCGTTCTTCGCACATTCCTTCCGGAGGGCGGGTGTTTTTTCGATACATCGGAAGTTCTTGCCCGAAAAAGGAGTAAAATTTATGGGGCAAAGTGCAAACCTGAAAGGCTCTTGGGTATTAGCTTCAGCAGAAAAAGGGAATACAGATGTTCGAAACTCAGTTTCAGTGCGGAGCCCTTTCGTTTTGAAAGGGTATAATCCAAGCTGGAAGTGGATGAAAGAACTGAACGTTTCTTGTTCCGCTGCTCGCTAGTTGTCCTAAAATTTAGGGACATGGACGGGTGTCCGGCCCGCGAGTCGAGTATCCAAAACTTTGGATGCCCGTTTCTTCGCCCGTCGCATATCCACGGCACCCGAGCCCTCGGCTCAGTTTGAATCCGATTTTTATGAAATTGAGATCTAATAACCCCAACCCAAAGTCCGAAAGAATACGAAATCAGATAAGCAAACTAAATTGAAGATCAATTCTAAAGAAAATATATTTAAGCCTAATTAAAAACATATATAGGAACCGTTTGTTCGGTATTTAGGTTTGGATTCAATTACTTCGATTCTAACAAAATTATAATTATTTTAGTTTTTATAATGAATTTGGTTTGATTCGATTTTAGTTTTTACGTATGAAATAACTTTTTTTTTTCGGTTGAATTCCGGTTTAGTTTTTTGGGTTTTAGAAAATTATAAACATTCGATTTTTATATATAGATTCATTTTGGTTATAATCATGTATCATTCGGTTCAAATTGTTGCTAACCAACCCCTCTGGGACAGACCAGCTCCAAATCTTAAGACTTGGTACGGTCGAGAATATTCTAGTGGTTATCGCCTTATCGACACCACCGGAAACCCGTCGCCATCGGAAATCGATCTGCTCTGTTCGCCGGAAGAAATGGCTTCTATTAGTTTCAACGTAGGATTTAGCTTCTCGGGTGTACGAAATCATCAGCATCTGGAAGTTTCTAGAAGCCGAAGGGCTCGTGTTTTCGCTGGTAGCTCGTTTTCTCAGGCGTCTCCGCAACAACCGCTGGAGAGCTCCTCAGGGACGCCTCCGGAGATCGAGCTCGAGTTCGTCGGTGTGAGTAATTTCCGTTGGGTCGGTGAAAATGTTGCGAAACTCTAGGACTTACGGGGTTTTTTTTCCTGGCTTGTGCCGGTTTTTCAGCCGAAGCCGGGGAGCGATGGATCGTATCCGGTGGATAAAGCGAAGGCGGTGAGTGGTGAGAAGCTGCTGAGGAGCATTATGTTGGAGAAGAAGATTGAATTATACGCTGCTTACGTGAGTTCTCAAATTTTCAGTTCAATTCGAATTATCTCGGACTTTGGATTTTGAATAATCAATCGATGATATTGAGGTTTGGATTGCAACTGATGCGTGTTGATTGAAGAAGAGTTTGAATCTCTTTTGCCGATTTGATGATTAGGGCAAAGTGATGAACTGTGGTGGTGGAGGAAGCTGTGGGACTTGCATTGTAGAGGCAAGTACTATCTACAAATCCTTTATGTTTACTCCATATCAGCGGGAGAGAAAGAGAAAAATGGTGTTTGGCTACTGAGAAAATAAGGGATGATGCAGAGAAATGGTGTGTTTCTTGATGAAAGATGTGATGCCTAGATTTTGATTCTGTCTCCCATACAGATAACCGACCCTGGTAATAGAAGGATGAATAGTCTTCTTCATTCTTCATTCTCAATCTGAATTTGGTTCGATCCTCTCGTGCACAGATACTTGACGGCAAAGATCTTCTCAACGAGAGAACAAATACTGAAAACCGATATCTGAAAAAGGTCAGCTCTTTCATCACACACTTATCTGCACCTCTGTGTGTTCATAATACTCTGAAGTTCATCTCTGGAGCAAGACAGATCACTCTCACCCGTGATCCATCGATTCATTTCCTCGCTGTTTGAATCTGTGGCATGTGTTGCAGAAACCAGAATCTTGGAGGCTTGCGTGCCAAACAATCGTCGGGAACAAAGAAAACTCGGGAAAGGTGCGTTTTATCAAACTTAACTTGATTCTCTGGTTCATTTTTTTCGGGGTCGGATTCAAAATCTGATCTTTTTTCATGGAGAATCAATCGTTTTGGGTTCAGGTGGTTGTGCAGCGGTTGCCGCAATGGAAGAAGTGAGGCCTATCCATGTAAGTATCTATCTTCATGTCTACAACCCGAATTTTCGGGGTAATCTTCCAAAAACAAAATTAATTTATATGTATATGGTATATATAAAACATATATTCATCAGATTCATTACGATCTTTAGAAGCCAGTTCTTCTGGATTCTGGTTGCCTTTGTTGTGTGATATCATATATCAGTACGCTTGATTGGATATGATCCATGTGTGTCTTGCTTCAATTTCGGTATAATTTTTATGGAAAAATATTCTATAAATATACTTGAAGTTGTATAAAACTATCAAATTATGAATCCACATCTATTTCAAAATATTGTCAAAGTTCCGTTAGAATAGTAATATCCTTAGCTTACATTGGATTTTTGCCGGGACTTTCTATGATATTCCAAGTTATTATTATTTTCAAAATATAGATAATTCAATAATCATTTATTGTTTTTCATATTGTACAAACAGTATCATGATATTTTTTTTAAAAATCATGTCTATATATAACACCTTTAAATTAATAAGGGTGTGAATGATTGATTTGTTATTTTTTTTTAATTTTGTTTAGATACAATGATTTTATAATGAAATGGTAATTTTAATAATTATAGTTGAAAAGATGGTGATTTTGTACTTTTCTCTCTGCTATTATTGCCCACTTTATCTTTTAACATCTTAAAATTAAGATTGAGGTTTTTGTTTAAATAGTTTTGTAACATCTTAAAATTAATTTAGTGCATGATTTCGAATATGTATTTGGATATTTTGAACATTAGTATTTGAATTTTAGTTTCGTATTTATAGTTTTTGAGTATTCTAGAAATAGTTAGGTATCTAGTTATATAGAAAAAAAAATAAAAATAATTTCATAATCTTTAGTATATATATAAAAAAATATGTTTACATTTTTTAAATAGATAAAAAGTAATTCGAGAATTTTCTGAAAAATGTTAAAAATAGCCTCACAAATTCAATACATATAAAGAAGATCTCATAATGGCACTCTGTCATATAGACATATACTACAATAAAATCGCAAAATTTTGAATCTAAATCTAGTTGGAAACTGGTTTATATTCCTTTTCAATTAACTTTTTAGTTGTAAACTTTGAAAATTTCAATTGTACTTTTGTTTCATTTGAAAAATAACCTTTTGGGAAATTATCAAAATTATTTTATGTTCTATTCAAATTTGATTTAAATATATACAATCTATTTTAAAATTCAATTCTATTTGAATGAAAGTTATATATGATTTGGTTGGCTTTTGCTTGTAACTTCTAAAAGAAACAAATCGAAATGACAGCACTTAGTCTATCATCCAATTAGTGAAACTCAATTGTTCATAATAATAAGTTTAAGATTAAAAAATTTAACCAAAAAAAAAGTTTAAGATTAAAAAATGAAACGGAGAAGAAAGGGCCAAGCACGTCACTATCTGAAAGGTCCTTTTGTAATTATTTTTCCAAATTTCCGCTGTTTCGTATGAATTCAAATTAAAAAAAATCTTTTTTAAAAAATAAAATTAACATATTCAATACGGAATTTTGCTTGACTTTTAAATTAAATATAAAAAATCATCGACATAAAAAAAAATCAAACTATTCAATTTTTTGTCATATTGAAAAAATATATTACGATAATATAAAATAATAAAAAAATTACATAAATATATACGTATACTTACATTATATATACATACATACACAAATATACATATATTCCTATGAATACATTATATGTATATATAATGATAAAATTTCATAATAAAACCATTGCTCTCAATTATAAATGTTTTTAAATCCGCCATATATATATAATATGTGTGTATATATATATGTATACGTATCTATATATACATATATATGTATGCATATATATATACATATAAGTATTTTATTTTTTTATAATTTTTTATTATTTATTTTAATATGAGGTCGAGCATGCCACGTTATCGGCAGAAAAAAATTTAACGTTTCTCTGTTACCGTTAATGTGGAGTTTGAAATATGGAAAAAGTTTAATAGTTTTTTTTTTTACGTCACTTTGGTAATAATAGATCATATTGGAAATCAGAAAGTTTAGTTTAGTATTTTTTTTTTAAGTTTTCCATATTTAATATGTTAAACTTCCTTCTTTTTTTTATAAATCCTGGATTGGTTAAACCCAGAGAAAAGAAGAAAAAAGGAAAAGAACTCGAAAACCTTCAAATAATTGAACTATATAATCACCAATCCTCTGCTGCGAATCAATGGATGGATTTCCGTGGCTGAAGCTTGACTGTTCCTGATTGTGTTCGTTTTCTCGGTTTTAGGGTTCGTTTTGGGGGGTTTCTCGAGTTATACAACTCGAAGAAGCGGAAGAAAAATCGCCCGTTGAAGGAGGTACCTTACTTCTCCCATAATTGTTGAGTTTCTGGTGAAATGTCGTTTTTCGGGCTGCGAATTAGGTTTTACGAAAGCTATCGATGACAGAGAAGGCTACTCTTATCTAGTGTTGTCCAGATTTCTGCCTGATCGTTTTGCCAAAGCTTCAGTATTGATCTTGCTTTTGATTTTTTGCCCTAGGTTTTGGCATAATTTAGGTCGATGAATGCGGAAATCATGGTGAATTTGTTGTTTCATTTGATTTTCGATCGATTCTTTCGCTTCTCGTTGATTGTTTTTGTTTTGTTTAATCTGGGTCGAATTCTTTTATGGTTTTCTAGTTGCGTTGATAGATATATACTTTGGGAAAGATCCTGAGGCAGGCTTAAACTGTTTCTTTGTGTCTGATTTTAGGGCAAGGTTTAGGATTACTTGCAAGGTTTCTGTATATTTCTTTATATGTGTTTAAGCTTGCTGAGAAAAGCAAAGAAATATATCCTAATTTGATCTAAACTTGTTTTTGTTCCTTATTGTGCAGAACATATCAATCCTTCCATTAGATTTTGTGGTGTCCCATTCGCAACGGGGATTTTCAGTCTCCTTCTTAGTTTACGCTATTGTCATTGCAGACTCGGGTAGGGAGACTTAGAGGGGTGTTTTCTATCTGGAAAGAACAACATTACATAACGAGTCAAGTCCATACTTTTCATATATTCATGGATCAACCAGAGAATCTAAGCCGGAGCGAGCACATTATTGATATACCGAGGAATGCTACTGATGCTTCCTCCTCTACTCCATCTCGCGGTAGAATCTCGAATGTATTGGAGCCTCTGCAGCACGAGGAGAGATCTTCAAGTGCTCCTCAAATGCCCATTTCCCAGCCACCGGCAGCTTCTGCTGCTACTCGATCGAATCCTAGTAATGCCGGTCGGAGAAGAAGCCCGTTGAATTCTGGTCTATGGATTTCCATTGAACTATTACTCACCTTTGGACAGATAATTGCAGCCATTGTTGTCTCGTCTTTGTCAAGACATGAGCATCCTCGTGCCCCGTTGTTTGCTTGGATTGTGGGTTATGCTTCTGGATGTGTCGCTACTCTCCCACTTCTGTTCTGGCGGTATTATCATTCCAATCGGGCCTCAGATCTGGATTCTGGTCAGCATCGTCCTAATCTTAATGTTGCAGCAGGACCCTTTGCCTTTTCAATTACTCGGACATCTGAAAGGGATGGTCGCCAGAGCAATACCATGTCTCCTAGTGGTAGAAATGCTGGATTTATGGGTGCTACTAGGTATTATTTCTGAATCCACCTGTGCTTTCTGACAATCTGTCTCAAATGGACATCTTTGTTTGTGTTAGATTCTGCATTATGTACGCTATACATATTTCTTTTCTGTAACACCTTTTGTTTGTTTGTTTGTGTCAATGCTTTTCAGATTTCAGAATCTAGTCTCAGTTAGTGCTCGGAATGGCTTTTGTTAGTCTTGGTCACTGATATGTTCTCTTTCCTTTCGGGTCTGCAGAGTTAAAGTTTTCGTGGAATACTTCAAAATGGCATTGGATTGTTTCTTTGCGGTGTGGTTCGTGGTAGGTAATGTATGGATATTTGGAGGGCATCCTTCTGCTTCCGAGGCTCCTAACTTGTACAGGTACTATGATGCGGAAACTAATGAGTTTTAAGAGTGTTTCTCCCAAGTTCTTTGAAAACTCCTTAAAATTATCGGACTTCTGTTTCCGAGGCTACATCGATTCACACATGCTATTTCAGTTCCTACGTTCCATTTATTCCGTGCCTTTTTTTTCAGGTTATGTTTGGTGTTTCTTACCTTCAGCTGTATCGGCTATGCTATGCCCTTTATCCTTTGCACAACAATCTGCTGCTGCTTGCCTTGCATAATTTCAATTCTCGGATATAGAGAGGAACTGGCGCAACCTCAGGGTGCCACACCTGAGTCGATAAATTCGTTACCAACTTTTAAGTTCAAGTTGAAGAAAAGGAGAAATAGCGGTGACGAGAATGGATCAAGTACCAGTGAAGGTGGAGTGGTGGCTGCAGGAACAGATAAAGAACGTGTGATTTCAGGAGAAGATGCAGTAAGCTAATTTTTCCTTGTACCAGTAGTTTATGTGCCCTTCTATATCTGCATCGTATGTTGGGTTGAGACCCGGGAAATTCGGATTTGGGTTCGGGTTCGGATATCCGGCCCATGCTTACCCCATTGTTCAGGAATGGAAAGGTCGATAACTGACACGTTTTTGCAGGTGTGTTGCATTTGCTTAGCGAAGTATGCAAACAACGAGGAGTTGAGAGAGCTTACGTGCTCTCATTTCTTCCACAAGGACTGCGTGGACAAATGGCTAAAGATCAATGCCTCCTGCCCTCTTTGCAAGGCTCAAGTCGGGGAGAAGAATAACTCTGACTATACAAGCCCGGGAATCTCAAGATTGCTCTCTCGGGATGACCATAATCAACAACGAGACGAGCACAGGATCAATAATGGGTTGGCCAACAACGTTGTTTAGATCTTGAATCTTGATAAATCACGAGCTGCAAACCTCGTGAAGCTTTACGAATCGTAAAAAACGAGCAGGGTGGAGCGGGAGAGCGAAGAACGGAACGGGTATTTGTCCTGCTTTTGGAAATGTCCATGTATGTGAGGTGTTCTATTATTAGGAAGAGGCGTGAGGTTTTACGATAGAAAGAAAGGGTGAAAGAAGCTCTTTCAGAGAACCGACGAATGGGTCATTTTTTTTCTTTTTGCTCTGTAAATGTCGTCTTTTGTTGCGCAATCAGTCCTTTAGGCATGCATCGTCAAACTCCACAAATATATCTATTTAACTATGTTTCTAAGATTTAAAATACTTATTTTTTGAGTATGTAAGTATAGTTTGTGTGTTATATATAATTATTAGCCAATTTATAAGACTGTAAATATCCAAAAACAAAAAAAAATTAGAGTCTCGGAGTTTAAAATCCGACAACAATAAGACCAGCTTCAGATACTGTAACAAATGGTTCTCTGTTTCCACAATGAAATGCCATTTTGTAACTAAAACGTCTGATTATAGCTGAGAAAACAATGGTTCCACAAGAAAACGAAACTTCTAAAGACAAAAAAAAAAGCGAGCTTTGTCTCAACTCTAAAACAGATTTCCACCAAACCGTCGCCCCCACAAGAGCTTCATATCCCGGCAAAGTCTCGTATGAACAAACAGAAGGAAAATACATGTCCATATTTTTCTTTTTGTATTTTCTGTCGGATCAAAATGTGGCCGAAATTCACATTCACCTCCCCGGTTGCTGGTTGTAGTGGTTCTTCTCCTTCTTCTTCGCAGCAACTACCTTTGCCCGCCTTGCAGCCGCCTCCTGCGCAGCAGCTTTTGCAGCACCATCCATCTCTTTGCTCGATTTCTTCTTCTTCATGGAAGCCATCTTCTTTAGCCGTTCTTTGACATCCACCGAAGAAGACTCCTCCTCTTCCCCGGGAGCCGCCTCTTCTGTTCCGGTAGGAGCAGAAACAGCAGTTTCGGCATTGTTGTTCGCTTGTTCCTGAGATTCTTTCGCCTCCTTGTTCTTGTCTTTCTTTTTCTTCTTCTTTGAAGCCTTCGACTCTCCGGTAGGGTTTTCCTTTTCCGCCTCTTCTTCTCCTTTCTTTTCTTGTTTAGCCTCTGTTGACAAAATTAAAAGGTGTTTACCGGAATGCACCAAGTATCAGCATCAGCAAAAGCTTACAGAAATATGTGATACCCCCTTTTGAGAATCTAACCATTTGGACCCAGACTCATCATCCTCTAGAGAAATTGAGAGAAAAATCAGAATTTTAGATAATAACGTCAAACAGACAATATGGCAGAGCAAATAATGCAATGAAGAGGCATATCTAGATTGTTGAGAGCATATAGAACATGAACAAGAAAAGCTCAAAATACTAAGAATTCTCTGATCAAACGGGTTTACTTACCTTGGGAGTGTTCTTCGCCATTACTCTCCTTTGGGGCAACTCCAAAATCAGCCAACAAAGCCTCGAGCTCAGCAAGTTCTTTCTTCTTCCTCTCTTTCTTGGAAAGTTGCCTCTCTGCTTCCTTGGGAGGAGCAGGAACTTCAGGAGTCTTCTTCACCACAGGTTCTGGCTCTGGGAGCACTTGTTCTTCCTCCTGTTCATGCTCTTCCTCCACATCTTCATCCCCTTCATCTAGAATGTCTTCTTCACTTTCGCTTTCCTGGCATTTCAAAGGGAAAAAAAGCATCTCATTTTATGCCACACTATATGCATTTTAACCCAACAAAACATCCCACATCCTTGCACACACCCAGAGAAATTTTAACAAAGGCAATTAACGATGCATACAGCTCGCGATGGTTTAAGGATATCGGCCTGCAGTGCACATAGCAAAACAAAGCATGACCTACAGAATCTATAAGCTCATCCTTTCACAATATAAAAATAACACAGATCGGATTGACAACGTCAGACAAGAGGGAACACAGGATCATACAGACCATGGCCTCAAATGCTAACACAACAGCATAAAACACATACATGCCAAAGTTTTCAGAAGACAAAGACGCAAACTCAAAGGCAACACAGCAGAGCAATGCCTTTCAGTTTCTTTCCAGACAACCAAAAAAATAAACACACACACGCAAAAACTGGTTCTTGAGTTAAAACCCATGAAAGCAGCATGAAACAAATAATAAATAATCGAGAAATGGGTTACCGGCCACATCACTGCTGGCGCATCAATTACAGTAGCATACTGCAATAATCTTACGTGTTCTTGTCTGACAACAAAAATCAGTTACATTCAATACCTAACATTCAGCATCACAAAACGAGCCAACAACGAGAAATGTGCCACCCCAAATTCAAGGCACAATATAGTATCAACTCAAGATCATAGATACAGCAACAAACGAACACGGCAAGCTGATAATAATAACCAATTATGTTACTGACCTCGACATGAATGATTTTTTCATCCGAATGGGATGGCTGAGAAGCGCCCCAGACAGACTGAGGCGGAGCAGCGGTAGCATAATAATCATCGTCGTCGTCGTCATCGTCTACATCAGCCCACGATTTCGCTTTAAGCGGAGTCGGAGCCCAGAAGACCTGACGCTCGGGCTCCTTCTGCGGCTCCTGCCGTGAGGAAGACTTCGAGGAACCTTTGCTCTTACTCGCCTTGTCCGACTTCTTCTTCTTCCTCAGAGTGTCCAAAGCGGCAAACAAGTTCGTGCTCTGAATCGCCATCGATCCTTCGTCCTTCCTGTTTCCTCCTCCAACCATCTTTCTTGTCAAACGATCCGATTCAGATAACAAAAGCGGAGGCAAAGATCAAGATAAAAAGGAACGTATTTGGAGAAACTAGAAATAGAATTCCCGATTTCACCCGGAAGTCTCGACGAATAAAACAGCGCCTGACTTTATATATAAGATCTAAACGGATGCCAACAAAATGGTGATTATCGAGAAAAAAACAAAACAAAACGGCAATCGGTGTCACTGTCTACGAAAATCAATTCACGTGAAATCTTTGGAAAACAGGAACCGACCACCAATTGCCCAGAACAAGAACAAGGCAAATCGATGAACGCTGGTGAAGACAAAAACGATAGAAAAAGTTAGAGTTCCGAATAAGAAATGGCAAATCCACCGGAATTAAGGACCGTCAATGGGGAACAAGAGGAACGAGAGAAACCCTAGGAAGTTTCGCAAGCGATTGTTTATAAATTCCTCCTTCGTAAAATTAGGGTTTGCTTCCCAGTGAGGATGAGATTTGGGGGGTGTGGCAAAGTTTGATAAAGTAGGGCTACACGACAACAAGGGGAGAACCAGGGCTGCGAGAAATCTTAAATTACGATTTAGCAACCCAAAATATTATTATTGTTCAATTTAAGCCTCTACACATATTGTTCCTTGTAAAATGGTCCCAATATTTTCAGATGTTTTTATTTGGGCCTCCAAAAAATGTGAAAACGGAGATGGGTTGAGGCTTTCCGTTACTAAACCAAAAGTTGAGTGAGGCTAAAATTTTTCAAATAATGAAAAAAAAATAATTAAATTCCATCTAAAAACTATTCCACATAACCTTTTTGAATCAATCAAGTAATTAATCAAGTTTGAAATGAAAGACTTAAATGGAATTAACTTTTTTAAATGGATATTTTTTTATGAAAAATAAACCGACGAGGGCCGAGGTCCAAGAGCTCTCAATACCGAGGGGTCACTTTTTACAGGAGAACCGGCCGATGGGAGTCTCATATCTGGTAATTTAATTATATTTCAATTCTCTATCCATTTATTTATTTATTCATTTCTACTATCTTACGATGATAAAAAAATCGGTTTGCTCTTAAATTACTAGATTCTCATTATTTGACCAAGATCAAGAAAGTAGACGGACCAACTGTCTGGATCATTTAAATTTCCTGGTTATCCCAGAAACAGATTGATTTGAATAGAAATTTGTAGTAAGTTTATTTTCATTTACCAATTGTAATGTTTTGATTTGGGTTTTTTGGGGGTTGTTGTGTAGGGATTGTGGAAAGCAAGTTTATTTGGGTAAGTATTTTAAATTCTACCCTTTTAATAGTATGACTGAATATATATATATATATATATATATATATATATATATTATTTAAAACGTTAGCAAAGACTATTTTTTTGTAAATAACTATATTGGGTTTCGTCTTCATCATCTACACCCAAAAAGAAAGAAGCCCAGCTAGATGAAAATTTGTACATTAAAATTAGTTTTAATTATGTAAATTAATCTATAGAAAATAATGAGAAATAGTGTCAACTTTTACATGTGTATATCATTAATTAAATTTGTTTTCTATTGTGTTCATCAAATTAGTAACACTCGATAATAAAAACTTTTAGATCCATTCATTATTACAATGATATTCTATAGTTTGAGATATTCTAATATCACTACAAAATCCATCTGTTATAGAATTAAATGATATAAAATTGGAAAAATAATTATAACTATTTGCTAAAACATGATCCCTTATCAAATAGGCCGTCCAAACTGAAAAAAATAATATTGATATTATATATTTATAACTGTGTGTGATGATTTGTGATGGAGCATAAACAACAATTAAGCAATATATTATATATTATAATTAAATAGTTTGTTGAATTTAGAGGTGTTAAACGAGCCAACTCGACTCGACTGTCCAAAAGATTTTAGCCGACCATTCAACAATTGTGTTGATGGAATTCAAAAATTTGGATTCTCGAAACAACTCAAATTTAAATTTGTAGTTGTAAATGGAAACTATTTGGATACAACTTTTGTAACTTTAAAATCAGATATTCCAATAGATGCAAAAATGATCAAATTGCACCCATCTCTATAGGAATAGATATTTCATATTCAATTTGGTTTCGGTACGGTATTTATTCGGTTATAACAAATTGTATTAATAAGTTGTTACATTATATTTTTTTTAATGAATTCCGAATATTTTTTAAAAACGTAGACACACTTTTACAACTAATATTAGGCATAAGAGTGTTTATATTAATCAACTAATTATAATTATATATATTAGTTGTATAAGTATATTTTGTATATATAACTAATATATATACATATAAATATTATTTTTAATATATATTATATGTATATATGTTAGTTATAATTATTTTTATTTTAATATGTATATTATGTATGTATATAAATGTAATTATAATTATTTTTATTTTAATATATATGCATTAGTAATGATATATATATATATATATATATATA